TCCAGATCTTTGCACATTTTGTTGTAATATTTGACTTTGTCTTCTCGAGCTGACCTTTGAAATTTTCTGTTCAGCTCTTGTGCCTCCATTTCTTCCATTTGCTTTAGCATCTCTACCCTGTAGAACAAGTTTCAGTGTCTCTTATGACATCCATTTTGACCTTTTCCTTCTTTACCTTCTTAATGACTTTTTGCTTTCTTACTCTCTTACCACAACTGTGTGCTCTTCGGTCCTTAGTGTTTAATGTATCAAATCTGTTCTTCAGATGATCTCTGAATTCAGGTGGAATGTATTCAAGGTCATGTTTTGACTCTCGTGGACTTGCTTTCATTTTCTTCAGCTTTAGTTTGAATTTGCATATGGGCAATTGATTGTCTGTTCCACAGTCTGCCCTTGGCCTTGTTTTGACTGATGATATGGAACTTTTCCATCGTCTCTTTCTATGGATATAATCAATTTGATTTCTGTGTATTCCATCTGGTGAGGTCCATGTGTATAATCATCTCTTATGCTGTCTAAAGAAGGTGTTTGAAATGAACAAATCATTGGTTTTGCAGAATTCTGTCATGTGATTTCCAGCATCGTTTCTGTCAGCAAAGCTGTGGTTTCCAACTACTGATCCTTCCTCTCTGCTCCCAACCTTTGCATTCCAATCAGCAGTAATGATTAATAATACATCTTGATTGCATGTTTGATCAATTTCAGATCAAAGAAGTTGGTAGAATTCTATTTCATCCTCACTGGCTTTAGTGCTTGGTGTATAAAATCGAATAACAGTGGTATTAACTGGTCTTCCCTGTAGACACGTGGATATTATTCTATCATAGTGTTGTACCTCATGACTGATATGGATATGTTCTTTTTGATAATGAATGCAACATCATTCGTCTTCAATTTGTCCTTTCTGGCATAGTAAACCTTGTGGTCATCAGATTCAAAATGGCCAATGCCAGTCCATTTCAGCTCACTAATGCCTAAGATGTCGATATTTATGCTTTCCATTTCACTTTTTACAATTTTTAATTTTCCTAGATTTGTACTTAATACATTCCATGTTCCGATTATCAGTAGATGTTTACAGCTGTTTCTCTTCATTTTGAGTTGTGCCCCATTAGCAAATGAAGGTCCCACAGGCTTTTCTCCCACGGGATTTACTCAATTCACGTCATCACAGTCAACTCTACTTTGAGGAGGCAGCTCTTCCCCAGTCGCATATTGAGTGCCTTTCAACCTGAGGGGCTCATTTTCCACCACTATATCTGACGGTGTTTCTCTGCTATTCATAAGGTTTTCAGTGACTAAATATTCGTAAGTAGTTAGTCACTCCTTCCTCGTCTGCTTTCGTCTGGAAGCTCATCTGAAACCTGTCTACCATGGGTGACCCTGCTGGTATTTAAAATACCAGTGGCATAGCTTCCAGAATCACAGCAACTCACAAGCCACCACAGTATGACAAACTGACAGACAAGTGGTGGGCAAACAATTTTAGTTACATGCAGTCACTCTTACATTACTGAGGAATTCCATGACTTTTGTATTCATTAACATATGAAGACCATGACTGATAAATTGCATAACTCTGTTCATGTAATGTGTTTTGTAATATCTATTCATTTCCCAGCTCTAGTTAATTGAAGCCTATGGTTCTTTATTTCTTTCAGGTGTCTCTTCTAGGTGCATGCTCAAGGAATTATTGCCAGATGAGAACATTACTAAAGGAGAATTATTCCAAACAATGATGTTGGAAGGACACAGAAGTTATAGTATAGAGACTCTTGACTTCAGAAATGCTACGAAAAATACGCATGAATTTGAGAGTCACTGGAAAGATAATGAAAGAAATTACAGAGGAATGACAGCACTCTATAACGGTAATCTTACTGGAAGAGAAGACCAGCAATGTAACACCTCCTGGGAGGATTTCCCTCTAAAGCAGAGTGGTTCTGTAAGAAAACTTACACCTCAGCGTTACAAATATGAGAACCTGTTTATGCAGTATTTGTTAAACTTTAAAAGTAATGTAAGCTACAGAGAAAACGAGAATATGAAATGTTTCGAAAATAAGATTGGATTCACCTCTCTGTCACAGGTGACTGAACTGCAGAGATTTCAAACTGAAGAGAAATCCTATGGTTGCAGTCAAGTTGAGAAGTCCATCACCAATGATAACAATGGTTGCCCAGTTTCACCACTTCAAAGAATTAGTCCTGATGTCAATTTCAACATTTGTGGTAAATGTGGGAAGGTTTTTCAGGATCCCTCATTGTTTAAACGACACCAGAAAACACATATCAGAGGAAAACTTTATAAAGGTAATGAAGAAGGGAAGACTTTCAACCAAAGTTCAGCCCTCACTAAACATCAAAATGTTCATTCTGCACCAAGAGCTCACAAATGTAATGAGTGTGGCAAATCCTTTCATTACTTCTCAAATTTCATTAAGCATAGGAGAATCCATACCGGAGAGAAACCATATAAATGTAACATATGTGGCAAGGTCTTCATTCAAAACTCAAACCTTAGAAGTCACCTGAGACTTCATACAGGAGATAAACCTTACAAATGTAGCAAGTGTGGTAAGGCTTTTACCAGACGTTCTCAACTGCTTGGCCACGAGAGAACTCATACTGGAGAGAAACCGTACAAATGTAGTGAGTGTAGCAAAGCCTTCACTGTGCATTCGTGCCTTGCTCGACACCAGAGAATCCATAATGAAGAGAATCTTTACAAATGTCATGAATGTGGTAAGGCTTTTATCAGTCGTTCATACCTCTGCGATCATGAGAAAATTCACACTGGTGAGAGACCATACAAGTGCACTGAATGTGACAAAGCTTTTAGACAACGCTCTGACCTCAGGATTCACCAAAGAATTCATACAGGAGAGAAACCGTACAAATGCAGTGAGTGCGACAAAGCATTTACTGTGCGTTCAAGCCTTACTAATCATAGACGAATTCACACTGGAGAGGAACCTTACAAATGTAGCGTGTGTGGTAAAGCCTTTACCCATTTTTCAAACTTTATTAGACATCAAAAAATACATAATAAAAAGGAGCATTTTGAATCTAAAGTATCTGTCAGTGCTTTTATCCAAAGCTCAAACCATGGGGATCAGCAGATAATTGATAGTAAAGAAAAACCTTATAAATGTCATGAGTGTGGCAAATCCTTCGCCATGCATTCAGGCCTTACTAATCATAAGAGAAGCCATATTGGGAAGAAACCTTACAAATGTAATGAATGTGGCAAAACTTTTACCCATTTTGCAAACCTTCTTAGACATCAGACAGTGCACTCTCAAAATGAATACTATAAATCCAACGTACGTGTCAGCGCTTTTATCCGAAACTCAAGCCTTGAGGATCATGAAAAAATTCATAGTGGAGACAAACTTTTCAAGTGAATGTGATCAGTGTTGTTTTTTAATCAAACGTTCACATTGGATGCATCAGAGAACACATGCTGGAGAGAACCCTTGTAAAGGAATGATGTCATAAATCATTTCATCAGGGCCCACAATAACTGCATATCAGACTTTATATACAAGCAATTAGGCTGGTCCGTGAAGATTAAAAACCGTTTTGTGTCAGCCACAATCATATCATTTTCCTACTCAGTGATCCCATGTGACTGAGTAGAACTGCCTCCGAGGATTTTCTTAAGCTGTAAACTTCACAGGAGCAGACTGCCACGTCCTCCTTCCAGGGAAAGACTGGATGGTTCCAAGTCACGCTCCTTACGGTTTGCAGTCAAGCACTCAACTGTGGCATCACCAGGGCACCTTTAATCAACCTTAGGTGTGAACTGCTACACTGTAATTAAAAGTCACTTAAATTTATGAAACGTAGGTGTCAAAAGCAAAGGGACATCTGTAGAAAGGTCCAGATGTTTTCAGTTTGGCTAATAGTTTAATGCAACTATTTCTAAGTTCTTGAGAAGATTTTGTTACTTTTGATGACTTTCTATCTAAACTTTGAAACTTTTATCACAAGCCTTATGTATTAATGTGATGGTCTCTGGGAAGGAATTGATAACGGGCTATGCAAATTTGAGAAAATGGGAAGAGCTGGAGGATGGGCATTAAACTGTTCTAAATCATCACAACAAATGTGTTCAGGTCTTCACATTTATTGGTTCAAAGAGGGTTGCTATTATGTGAAATGATTGTGTTACCAGGTGACCAAGAAGGTGAAATAGCCGGCCAAGAGAGACTTGAAAGTCTACTTTCATGAGAACGAATGGTAGTTTACTAAACCAAAAGCCCATTGCCATTGAGCCAATCCCAACTCTTAGCAACCCTGTGTAGGTTTCTAAGGTTGTAAGTCTTTATGGGAGCAGACAGCCTACTCTGTCTCCCTGGAAGCTGCTGATAGGATGGAACTGCTGACCTTGTAGTTAGCTGCCCAGTGCTTATCCTGCAGTACCACTAGACTCCCTTGAAAGGCAGCCACAGCAGGATGAGGATTTTCATGGGAACTAGAGACTGATAATGGAGGAAAAATGAGGGGTCTCCTCCTTTGTAAGGATTAATATTTCCTAACCCCTTGCTTGGTGCCCTCACTGGAATCATTTGAAGAGATGAATATTCATGAATTTCCCTTGAGAATGAACACAATGTGGATAAACTAGGAACTTCATATATTCATTCCCCCAAAACTTTCCACTAATTTGCATGTGTAAGGACAGGATGGATTCTCAAAGTTTGGTTTCAGTGTTATGAATGAAGATGCCACATATCAAATGAGAATGCTTATTACAAAATGAAACATGGGTATGAGAATACTACTAAATGAAAGATGGGCAGACTTCTTAAGTGGGCAGGAAGTGGCTAGAGAGATCAAGGGTAGGTGACTGGCTTGCGTTTTTCTGATAGGAGGTAGGGTTGGGGCAGAGAGTACCTGCATGTGCTTCGAACATGCCACTAGCACCAAAAAATGAAGCAAATTAGTTTTTTTAAATTAATGAGGTTTCCCCAACTGGGGCAGAAGGATAAAAGAGGTGAGCCTTAAGAGCCATCAGTAGTCAGACATCAAAAAAGGGAGTCAGATGCCCTAATACAAGTGGAATCCGAATGTGTGCTCTTTCAACTCCACAAATCTGAAGTGGCAGTTCAAATCCACCCAGAGGCACCTTGGAAGAAAATTTTGTCAATCTACATTTACATGGTCACAGCCATTGAAAACCCTATGGGGCCCAGTACTACTCCAGAACACACAGTATCATCATGAGTCACAGCTGGTTCAATTGTTAATATCTCCTACTTGGTGTAGCATTGTAGAATAAGATCACAAGGTCAATTTGAACCAAAGGTGGCAGTTCCAACCCTCTGGCGGCTACTCAAAAACCATATGCAGAATTTGAGTCGTAATCAATTGGACAGCACTTCACCACCACCACCACCTGATCTTTCCAAGGAGTCCTGATTTTGTTGTTAGGTGCCATCGAGTTGGTACCGACTCATAGCGACCCTATGCACAACAGAATGAAACTGCCCAGTTCCTGGGCCAGCCTCATAATTGTCTCACTTGAACCCATTGATGCTGCCACTTTGCTAATCCGTCTTGCTGGGGGTCTTTCTCTTTTTCTCTGACCTCCTGCCTTATCAAACATGATATCCTTCTCCAGTAACTGGTCACTCCTGACTATGTCTGAAGTATGAGAGATGAAGTTTGGCCATCCTGGCCTCCAAGGAGCACTCTGGCTGCACTTCTTCCAACGCAGACCTGTTGGTTCTTTTGGCAACCCATGGCACTTTCAATATTCTCCTCCAACACCATAACTCAAAAGCATCAATTCTACGGTCTTCCTTATTCACTGACCAACTTTTACATGCATACGAGGTTATTGAAAATACCATGGCTAGAGTCAGGTGCACCTTAGTCCTCAAGCTGACATGTTTGCTCAACACTCTTGTACAGCAGATTTACCTAGTGCAATACGTCATTTGATTTCTTGACTGCTGCTTCCATGAGTGTTGACAGTACTTGGAAAATAAGGCCCTGGTGATAGAAATGATGTTGGAGATCACATGATAGAATTCTGCAAAACCAATGATTTGTTCATTTCAAATACCTTCTTTAGACAGCATAAGAGACAACTATACACATGGACCTCACCAGATGGAATACACAGAAATCAAATTGGTTACATCTGTGGAAAGAGATGATAGAAAAGCTCCATATCATCAGTCAAAACAAGGTCCTGGGCAGATTGTGGAACAGACCATCAATTGCTCATAAGCAAATTCAAACTAAAGCTGAAGAAAATGAAAACAAGTCCATGAGAGCCAAAATATGACCTTGAATATATCCCACCTGAATTTAAGAGATCATCTGAAGAACAGATTTGATACATTAACCAAAAGACCAGAAGAATTCTGGGATGACATCAAGAACATCATACAGTAAGAAAGCAAAAAGTCATTAAGAAGATAAGAAAGAAGGAAAAGATCAAAATAGATGTCAGAAGAGACACTGAAACTGACTCTCCAGCAGAGATAGATGCAAAAGCAAATGGAAGAAATGAGGAGGTACAAGAGTTGAATAGAAAATTTCAAAAGTCAGCTCGAGAAGACAAAGTCAAATATTACAACAAAATGTGCAAAGATCTGGAGTCAGAAAACCAAAAGGGAAGAACACACTCAGCATTTCTCAAGCTGGGGGATATGAAGAAAAAATTCAAGCCTCAACTTTGGTGATTCAAGGATTTCTCTGGGAGAATTATTGAATGATGCAGAAAGCATCAAAAGAAGATGGAATACACAGAGTCACTGTACCAAAAGGAAATGGTTAATGTTCATCCGTTTTTAACAGGTAGCATATGATCAGGAGCCAATGATACTGAAGGAAGAAATCCAAGGTGCATTGAAGGAATTGGCAAAAAACTAGGCACCAGGAATTGGTGGAATACAAATTGATATCTTTCAAGAAAGTTGAGGCGGCACAGGAGGTACTCACTCATCTCTGCCAAGAAATTTGGAAGACAACTATTTGGCCAACTGATTGGAAGAGATCCATATTTGTGCCCATTCCAAAGAGAAGTGACCCAACGGAAAGCGGAAATCATTGACCAATATCCCGTGAGAGTAAAGTTTTACTAAAGGTAATACAGAAACGGTTGCAAGCATACATTGACAGTGAACTTCCAGAGTTTCAAGCTGGATTCAGAGGAGGACATGGAATGAGAGATACCATTGCTGATGACCGAGGGATCTAGGCTGAAAGCAGAGAATACCAGAAAGAAGGAGTCCTGGCAGCCTAGTGATGTGTACACTGGTCTGCAGTTTGATCCACCAGCCACTCCGCAGGACAAAGGAGGCTTTCTGTTCGCGTCATGATTGACAGCCTCAGGAAGTCTGTATACTGACTGGGTCACTGAGTCAGAACCAACTCAACAGCAAGCAGAAGCAGCACCTGCCTGTTCTGCTGCAAATACGTGACCCTTTGCTGCAAATACGTGACCCTTTACACCGGATGATTTTTCAAAGTCTTTGTAGAATCAATTTAAATAACATGCCTAATCATTTTACAATAGTTTCATGAAAATTAATGTGTGAAGGTACTTACACCAAACAAGATATAATCATTAGAGCAAATTTTCAAAGACTTTGAAAATGTCAGTTTGACATGATGTCAATTAAATAGTTAGAAAATTCTTCAACTGTAATAAAAAGAATTTCTTAATATGAAATTTGCACTGTGGACTTTTTTTTCTTGTTCCATACATTTTAACCCTATATACAGCAAGACTTCATCTCATCCCTGGAGAAGGCTGAAAAAATAGCAGGTCAGTGAAGAAAAGGAAGACCCTCAACAAGATGGATTAATACAGTGGCTGCAACAATGGCTTCCAATATGGCAGCAGTTGTGAGAGGGCCAGCAGTGGTGTGTACTGTTGAATGAAGGGGTCACTATGAGTGAGAACCTAACAATAATTCACATTTCCTCCCTGTATTACTCCAGGAAAACATTTAGAAGCTCCATAAGTAAAAGGACTTTTCTGAAGTCTCTCTTTAATGTGGAAATGCACACAGAACAATGTCACGTACACAGTAGGTCTGTAGAGACACGAAGAACGGTGGTACGTTACTATTTAGTATAATGAGAGAACGTGAATGGTGCAAGATGACGCACTGAAATCAAATGTGGAAGCAGCAGACCTGTTCCTACCGTGAAACTCTCATAATGGGATCTTGGGATCAAGATTTGGATGGAGGTAGCCAATGGACTTGAACCATGTGCCAAGTGAGGCCTTTACCTGGGTCAAAGCAGAAATGCCAAGGATGGGACTGGCGTTAGCAATTTTCACCAGAAGCAGACATGGACCGTGGCAGTGGAGCAACTCTTCTTGGAACATCTCACAGTCACTCTGGGACTCACCACCAAAAGCAAGCAAGTGTGAGGACTTTGTCTACTGGAGCGGCCCTCAGACCCCAAGAGTGGAGGACCAGGGCCTTGGGTGTGGGGGAGGGCGGGAGCACAAAGCTCAAATTCGAATGAGACAAATGCAGTTTCACTTACTGCGTGTGCTCAGTCCTCTTTACCATGTTTGGGAAGCTATACCTCAGAGCAGCCAAGACAGAACAAAGGGCAGAACTGGCAATGGGTAAGACTGGGCTAGAGGTCAGGATGGTGCACGCAACTCACTGAGCTATTGGCAGACTTAGGGTAGGGCAGAACCTGGAAGGTGTGTGCCCTGAGATTTCCTTTGTCAGATCTGTCTGCACTAACTCAATGCAGTTACTCAATCTGTGATGTCCTGCTTAGTGCACCTTCTTCCTGCCTGTTTTAAGTTAATGTTTCAAAGTGAGAGCTTACAGTGTGCTGGGTCTGGAAAGGTCCCTGAAGTAGAGACACAGCCCTCCTTAGTGAAGGCCAACTTCTGACCAGACCAGCTTTCTCAGCTGCTCTAGTTCATCAGACCATGGCCTCTCCACCACTAACAGGCCCAGCTATAGTCATCTTGGCTTCTGAGCAGTCTGGCTGTACTTCTTCCAGCATACATTTGTTTGTTCTAGCAGTCCGTGGTTACTTTTAATATTCTTCTTCAACACCATAACTCAAATGCATCACTTGTACAGTCTTACTGTCCAACTTTCACATGTGTATGAAGCTATTGAAGATACCAGTGGCTTAGATCAGGCACACCTTAGTCCTCAAACTGACATCTTTGCTCTTGAGCACTTTAAAGAGGTCTTCTGCAACAGATGTGACTAATGCAATTAGTCATTTGATTTCTTGACTGCTGCCTCTGTGAGTGTTGTTAGTGGTGCCAAACATAGTTGTCGCATCTGGCTTTGGCTATTCTCCGTGTTTGGTGCAGAGAGACTAAACCTGAATAGGGGTCATGGGAGATTAGAAAGAAAAGGAAGACACAATACACAAATGAATTAAGTAAAGTTGGGAGCAGGTGGGACGCAGCACTCTGATGGAGATACTGCAACCCAGACCAAGTTCAGCAAGTTTATTTTATACACATATCAATGGGCTCAAGCATGGCAGTGATAGTGAGGTTGGCCCAGGATCGGGAAGTGTTTCATCCTGCTGTGCATAAGGTCGCTATCAGTCAGTACCGACTGGATGGCACCTAACAACAGTGACATCAAAGGGAGGTGCTTGGGGCAGGGAAAAGAGTGCAAGAACATCTGGTGGTGTTTGTGCATGCAGTAAGCAGGACTTTATCAGAAGAATGTAACTTGTGGTAGCTAGCCGAAACAGAGATTAGAGCAGCTAGATGTTCGTGCAGACTGAGCTGAAGGTCATGGCTGTGTACAAGGAAAGACCTTGCAATTCCCTGTTACCTGAGGCAGCCCTGCAAGTTCCTCAGGGGGCAGCTTGACTTGGCTGTAGCCTGAGTTTCCGAACCACAACTATTCAGTTGCAATCCTTCAGTTAAACTACCCCCAAGTCAAAGACCCTCACTCCCAACACATTGTGACGTCTTTGGCAACTTGAGTCTTCTCTCCATTTAGCATGATGTTATTTATTGGTTCTGTGGTGAGGATTTTTGTTTTCTTTACATTGAGATGCAAACCATACTGAAGTCTGTGTTCTTTGATCTTCATCAGTAAGTATTAAAGTCCTCATTTTCAGCAAGCAAGGTTGTATCACCTGCATATTGTAGGTTAATGAGTCTTCCTCCAATCCCGATGCCCCATTCTTCTTCATACAATCCAAAATCTCAGAATATTTGCTCAGCATACAGATTGAATAACTATGGTGAAAGAATACAATCCTTTCCTAATTTTAAACCATTTAGTGGCCCCTTGTTTTGTTCGAACAACTGCCTCTTGGTCTATGTACAGGTTCCTCGTGAGCACAGTTGAGTGTTCTGGAATACCCACTCTCCACTGTCATTTATAGAAGAGTTGTAACAACAAGAAAAAGTTAATGCTGTTTTGAAGCAACAGTTGGCATGGCTTAGCCTGCCATGCCCCAACAGCTGATCTTGCCCTGGGAAAGTCTCCGGAACTGAGCTCGGGGTAAGTCTGTCTCTTAGGCACATGAAGGATAGAATTAGAAATGTTGCTCTGAGGAGTGAGTTTTGCATTTTACTTTCTAATTTGCATCTCCTACAGACTTCTCCAGTGCATTCTTAACTCGGTGGCTTACATTAAGTTTAATTATAAGAAACGCTCCTAGATCCAAGCACTTCCAAACATGGACCCACAACCAAGATGTCAGTGCCCTTCATGGTGAGTCACCACCGAAGAGTCTCCACCCTCTTGCAACAATAATTTTAACTTCAAACATTTTCAACTTAAGAGGAAAATATCTCCGCTTCCAATATAAGTAGTCCACACAACTGTAAGGTTTGACCTTAAACTGAGAAACATTACGTTAAAATAGGCACAGAGCAACCCTTCTGCACAGGACTTTAATGAGAGCCAATGGCTTTCAAACTTGAAAATTAGAGATGCCTTGGGGAGACCCCAAAAGAATTGATACCCGTGACTTGTGGTGTTGGTGAAGAATATTGAATATACCATGGACTGTCAGAAGAACTAACAAATCTGTGTTAGATCTGGAATTCGCCGTAGAAATGAGACTGGCGTTGCCCAAACATCCCAGGAGCCATGCTACAGAGCAATGCAGCCAATTAGCACACGCCCAGGTAAAGAAGAAAGGAGAGTTTATTAGGAGGTGACTCCAGTGAGGTCAAAGTTGACACCAACAAGCAATTCAGCAGAGTTCATGTCTGCTTACCACAGATTCCCACCAGGAGCTCAGAGTACAGAATTTTTTATGTTTTGTGAAAGTTAACAGTTACGGTGCTGGATGGAGGCCTAAAGAGGCAGGTTTGCAGAATGTGCCCTGTGATTTAAATGTATATTTGTGAGTGTTTTTGTGTGCATCCCCTCCCCCCCCCCAAAAAAAATGAGGAAAAATAGAGGGAATGGAAGCAAATACTGTTGCATGATGATGCATGGAGGAGATTATAATCATTGCAATGAACTGGTGGTGTAAAGCCATGTCCTCCCATGTAAATATTATTCAATTTACAATAATAAAACTACATCACTTCCTCACATCTACAAGAAAATATGAAGATTCAAAAAAAAAAAAGTTAACAATCTCATCTACATATTCCAAGATCAAGGAATGGCGTATGAGAACAAAGGAACCAAGAAAACTGTGAAGTTCCTTTAGTTCTAAGTTTTCTGGAGACCAGGTGTGGTGCTGTAGGATATGCACTGGACTGCAAGGTCAGCTTGAACCACAAGGTTGGCAATTCAAGATCACCAGTTGCTCCTTGGAACCCCTATACAGGGTAGTTATAGGTCAGCGCCAACTCGATGGCTCTTACCAAGTTTTATCTAACAGAAGTATCTGCTTTAGCTGTAAGTTTTCTCTTTGCCTAGGGGAGGAAATATCAGCTCCAGGCACATCCAGATCTTTTTCAAGGCTGACCTCTATGGGAATCACTGTTGTTAAGCTGTCGAGTTGGTTCCGACTCATAGCAACCCTGTACAGAGTTTCCAAGGAGCGGCTGGTGAGCTTGAACCATCAACTTTGTGGATCAAACTGATTTAGCAGTCCAGCGCATTAACTCACAGCGCCACACCAACAGGACTCCATGGGAATATTATCTAGCATTTTCACCATTTAGGCCTGAAAGTTTCGTTTTAATGTTTATGTTATACACTGAGTCACGCGTTCATTTAGTTCTTTGTCACAGGCTTTTTGCACAAGTAAACTTCGCACACAAACATTTTCCAGGGATCATTGTGACCGGTCTCTGGTGTCAACACAACATCTTGAGTATCTGACGTTTCTCAAAAAATTGCAGTTACTTCTCTCACTGGAAGAAGCCTTGGGAAACTTTTTTTAAAAAGAGTATTACGCATGTTTCTATAGAATATTGGGTGTTGATGGTGTACTGTGGATGTATTCTCAGGAGGGACCAGTCCTTGGAGAATCAACATGTTTGGTAGCGGGTCAGCGATAAACAGGAGTGACCTCAACGAGATGGACTGACGTAGGGGCTGCAGCAATGGGCTGGGGCATAGCAATTCCGAGGATGGCGCAGTGTTTTCTTCTGCTGTACAAAGGGTCGCTATGAATCAGAACTGAGCGGAAGGCCCATAAACCGCAAAGCCTTAAGGCAGACCCAGGCCTTGTCGGCTCGTCACCCCGCCCCTTGTCAGTAGGCCACGCCCAAGGCCCGCTCCACGCCTGCGCAGTTAACTGCAGACGCGGAAGCTGATTGCGCAGACCCAAGGTCACCGTGAGGTAAATTTCTTTCTTTCTTGTCTGATCCCAAGCTTGGCGATTCCTACTCTCTATAAGAGGTGCCGAGGGTCGCTCCGGACGTTAAAGTCCTCGCGGCCGCCCTTTTCTCTCCTGGAGCTCTCCGCGCGGCCGTCAGACGTTCCGGCCCTCAGGCTCCGCCTCCGGCCGGGCATCCGCATCCCTTTCAGTTTAAAAATGGCGCAGAGGCGGGTCCTCGCCCCGGCCTTTCTGCGCTGGGGCTGTGTTGACGTCCCTGCCGCTGCCGCGTCGTTTCCCTGCCCCCGCCCGGCCACGTCGTCACCCGGAGAGTCTGTGGGGACACGCCCGCCTTCTGAGTCGTCCTGACACCCGACCAGTCTCTGAAGGCTCCGCCCCTCACCCGAAGCCCCACCTCTCGCTGGAGACCACGCCCCTCTCCTGAGGGGTTTTTTTTTTTTTTTTTCCTCCCCCACCCCTCTCTAGAGATCCCATCCTTGCCTCGTCGCCCATGCGGCTTCTTAGTTGTCCTTGTTTCCCCCATGACCCCCCATGTAGGAGAAGGAATCCGGATCCACCGTGTGACACCCCGTCTTTTTTGTCCCTGATCCCACCCCTGCCAAGTGCCCTCTTCGCGGGCAGGGGGCACCTCATTTCATCCCTGCGCCCCGTGTGGACGAGGAGCAGAGCCCCTAAGAGAAATTCCCTTAGTGAGAGAAGTGAAGACGGAGTGACAGATGGCTAAATCAAGACCAGGGGAGGGGCTTGTCAACAAACCAGAAGTGAAAGAATAATAAACCGAGAGCAGCAGGGGCGAACAGAAGATAGACCTAGAGAAAGGGGGCTCTCCAGAGAGCCATGGGAGCAACATATGGAAGGAGGGGAGGGCCCTTAGTCTGCGGTGAGGATCGGGCGCCGGGCAGGCACTTCAGATAGAGGGTGGAGAGCGGGTGGAAGAATTAGTCATACCAGGGACATACGGGTGCGTGGGTGACACATCTGAGGGAGAGTCTGTAATGGGGATGGAGGTGGGACGGAGGCAGGGTGACCCCGAGGGAAAGAGCAATGAGGTGACCCCGTGGAGGAGGACTCAGAGCAAGGGAGGAATCCGGGAAGAGGAAGGAAATGAGCAGAAACTAAGGGGGGCGGGAGGGGGGTGGGGAACGCATGCCTGCGTGCCTGCGTGTGTAGAGTAACAGGGTGGACAGGAGGACACTAGGACAATGACTGGGGACACATAGTCACACTGAAAGAGGAGGACTCAAATTCAGATGAGTTGCTTGGATAGAGATGATCACATTGTGAAGTGTTGATTGGTGTCTTTATAATTAATTAATGGACAGTTTGCCTGAATCATACAGGTGAGGATTGTGAAACTCCTGTCTATACCCCTGTGCGTTTTGTCATTATTCGCATCGTTGTTGTTGTTCTGTGCCGTGGAGTCTTAGTGACCCTGCAGAGGGTTTCCGAGGCTGTAAATATTTACGGGAGTAAAAAGCCTCATCTTTCTCCCACAGAACAGCTGGTAGTTTCGAACTGCCGACCTTAAGGTTAGCAGCCCAATTCGAAACCACTACGCTACCAGAGCTCCTTTATTAACATCATAAGATGACTATTTTCAGCACAACTGCTTTTAAGATGGAGGACAGTGACCAGTCGCAGGGGATTCTGGGTCCTCCCTGCCATTTTCTCTGGATGTAATGGAGGTAGAGGGGTGAAATGAAGCAGGAAATTACTCACTTTCTGTCACTACATGGTGCCTTTTTAAAGAAACATTTTAAACCTGAGCTTGTGTGTGTGTGTTTACTTTAATCTAATTCATGATTCTTTTTCAAGCTGATTGGACTTTATTGAATTTCAATTTTATTCAGTAAATTACCATTAACTTGAAATAAGCTTTACTGGCAACCTGTAATCAAATAGTCTGTCATTCTTTTCCAAATACATTTATTTAATATTGACCTAGAATTGGTTACATTTTCTTTTCCGTTTCCATATGATTTTCCTTTCTAAGTGTCTTGTGTCCGGTTCCTATTACGAGGCTTCCATGCTGTCTGCTCTTTCTCACATACTAGAAACAGTCTTTGACATGTAGTAAATAAATTTAGACTCTTTCAATGTACATTTGGGAAGGATGTTAGTATATTTTTATATTAACCAGGTAGTCTAATACAAGGGGATTTCAAAAAGTTAGTGGGAAAATTCCATTATCTTTTTAGTTTCATTTTTCTATGAACTTTCTGAAGCCTCCCCCTATTCAATTTTCTTCCTTTATCCCATCTGTTAAAATATGAAACTGATGAGCTGTTGAGTAAATGTTCCCCTCTAGTCCCTCTGGTCCTTTTTGTAAAAATACTGGGTGGCTTGGATTGCCTATGAACCTTATTTCAGCAAAGCCCATCGATTTACGATGAAAGCAATGTGCTCAGAGCTTATCTTCGATATATTTAGCACCAGCAGCTATGTGGGTGTAATGTCATATTTTTCTTTTGGACATATTTTTGAATATTCTGGAAATGAGGAATTAATTGCTTGGGAATCCTGGTGTGGCGCTGTAGGAGCTGCACTGGACTGGGAACCACAACTTCAGCAGTTCAAACCCTCTAGCCACTCCTCAGAAACCCTCTACAGGTCGCTATGAATCAGAACAGACTAGATGGCACTTAACAACAACAATGCAATTAAAACTATGAAAGGAAACTGTTCTCACTCAGGCATATGAACAAATTGCCTTGACCAAAAAAAAATTTTTTTTATTTTTCTTTTTGTGACAATTTACTTAACATATAGCAGCCCAAAAGGTCTTGGAATTTTTAAGCGAGAAAAATGATAAGGACCATCTTTGTCCACTGTTGCAGCCAGGTCACCGTATCAAAATTGGCATTCCTCTACTCTCTCAGGCCTTCTGAAGATGACTTGGGGAAAGGACTCCCCCTCTGGGCTTCAGTGCGCCCAACTATTAGAACATGGAGGTGTGGGCTGCCCCAGGAAGTGTGACTCTGAGCCACAAGTGAGTCCTAAACTGCTATGGGAATTGGGTATGTGTCTGTACGTGGCAGAGCTGAGTGGCCAGTTCGTTTAAATGAGCCCAAGCCTCCAAAAATGAAGCAGACCAAACCAGTCGCCTTTGAGTTCCTTTGGACTCTGGTGACCCCATGGGCTTTTCATGGCGGGCCTCTTTTCCAAGGTACCACGGACCATTTGATTAGCAGCTGGCTACTTGACTGTCATCTGCAACTGACCACTAAACTGCCCTAAGTGAGTACCAGTCATCCAAAAATAGGAGAAAAAAATAAACAGTAAGACAGACCATCTCTGTTCATCAGAGATAAATATGAAGTCTGTTCACATCAAACCTCCTATGGCTTCCATCGTTCCCAGGACATGAGCTAGACTTTTCACTGAGGACTGTGTAGTGGGGGCCCTGCTCAGATCTCCAGCAGCATCCTGTAAGCTGACCCGTTCCCCATAATGCTCTCTGCTCCCAAGCTCCAGAGCTGTATGGGGACTTTGTCCCCAAGTCAGATGATCCTTCCTTTCCGTGCACACTCTCAAAAAATCTCTCCAACACTCAGTCTCTATCAGGTTGCCCAGTTTTCTTGCCTCCAGTTCAGTTTACTCAGCTCAGAAATTAACTTTTCTACCAGCGATTTCAGGTTTCTGTTTTCCCTCCATTTCAGGGGCCATCTTGTTCACTGTCTCCACGTTGTATTTCATCAGCACCTTGTTCTCTGTCTCCATCTCTTTCTCCATCTCCACCTTGTTCAGACTCCACATTGCTCTCCACCTTCCTCATGGTTACAGCGCAGCGGTGGCACCTTCCTTTGGGGATTGTACTCAGATGTTAAAGCCATAGGTTGAGCTGAATCCACTTCATGTAAGACCTAGGAACTATAGGACAGGTGGTGACACTGAATCCTAGATACTGGAAATTTTATCTCTTCGTTGATTTAAATTCCATGTGGTTATTTGGCTCCAAATAAAATTTCTAGGCTGCCGTGAGGCCTCTGGAGCCTCACAGAGCTGGGATGCTCACAGTATGTGGAGCTGTTGCCACATGTCACCTGCTGTTGTCACTGCCCTCCCCCAGCTCTCGGCTCTTCTGCATACCAGAGACCAGCTGTCTTCTTGGATATGGCTTCTTCAACCATGTAATCTGCTCCGAATCAGGGATCCTGGTTTCCCTTTAGGGAGAAGCCAGAGAAGGTCAGAAGTCTAAGGGGACAGGAACTAGAAATTCTTTAGTTTGGGTAAATATATATGTAATGTGTGCCATTTCAACTGTCTGCACATGTAGTCAGTAACATTACTTTCATCGTGGTGTTGTGATATCACTATTGTTGTTAAGTGTCATTGAGTCAGTTCCAAATCATAGCAACACTGTGTAGCGTTTCCAAGGAGCAGTTAGCAGTCCAATGCTTACCCTACAGCGCCACACCAGTGACATTATGTTCATTGTGCTCTTCAGACACCGCCATTACTGATTCTGAATTTTCCCATCACACTTAACGGAAGCTGAGTGGCACAAACTGCTAACCTAAAGCTTGGTGGTTCAAACCCTGACCAGCACTGCGGAAGAAAGGCCTGGAAATTTGCTTCCATAACGGTTTAAAGCTGCTGCCATCAGGGCGATTCTGACTCTGAGCAACCATACAGGGCCGAGTAGCACTAGTCCCTAGGGCTTCCGAGACTGATTCTTCACAGAAGCAGACTGCCAGCGCTCACTCCCTCAGAGCGACCTGTGGGCTTGAACCACCCACCTTCCAGTTAGCAGCCGAGCTCTTTCACCGCTGCACCACCCGGGCGCCTTGGGTAATGATTACAGACAAAGGGACTGTGGAGCTCACTTACTCCGGAGCACGCGGGTCGCCATGAGTTGAGATCACCACAGATTTGGGTTTTTCTGGGGTTTTGTAACAACTCAGTGTCCCAAAGCTAGAGAGTCTGGCCCTTTGCTGAAGGTGAGTGAGGAGAGGGAGGAGAAATGGTGGTTGTTAGGGGTTGCTGAGTTGGTTCTGACTCATGTCAACCCTATATAGAGTTTCCAAGGAGTGGCTAGTGGGTTTGAACTGCAGACCTTTCAATTAACAGTCCAGTGCTTATCCTACTTACCAGGACTCCATAGGTAAGTGGGGAGAGGAAGGAAAAATGGTCTCCCCAAAAAGATCCTATGACTTCCTCACTGAAGTCCAGCCAGCCAGCCCTCAGCGGCCTTTAAAGCTGACCGTCGTGACAACCCCAGTGGCCGGCTGCTTTTCCCTCCTCCTTGTCTTTCAAACCGAGGACCCAGGAGGACCCAGTGTTGCCGTTTGTGTCTACTCTGGCTGTGGTACCAGCAGCCAGAGGCCCCCTAGCCTGGCATCACGCACATGCACTGGGGACAGCTGGGGAAAGTGGGTGACCTCCAAGAGGGAGGTTTTGGTTGCCTGATGGTGCTATAACAGAAAGACTGCAATGAAAAGGAGTGAGGGACTGTGATTCCCAGACTGGGTCTCCCTTCAGGGAGGTCACCCCATCCCAGATTCCCCTGCTGCCCCTACTGCTGCCAAGTGTAGGCTTCAGGGGCTGGGGAGCCGGAGGGAGGAGTGGGAGAGGGGAATGATAAAGCCCCCTGTAGCTCTCTGTGTGAGCGGTTATTGTCCCTGAGCCCCTCCCGGGACAGTGGGCACCAGGACCGACTTTCCCCTGGTAAGGTCCTCCCGGTGCGTGTGGCTGTGTTGGTTCTAACCATTTAGCAGTTTGTTTCTTCCATACCCAGATTGATTCCTCAACACTGACCTCACCCAAGAATTAAGCCCAGAGGAGGAGGAAAGAAAGAGGCGTCTGGAATGGCTCTTTCCCAGGTAACTGTCCTTGTCTTGAGGAATAGTTCCACTGTCTCCTTCCTGAAATGCTCCCCTGAGAATTGGCTCATCTCCTCTGAGTGTGGCATGCCCTGACACACTGGCTCACGCTTACCCACGGTGTCCCTCATCCCCTACAGACTTAATCCATGTCACCATGACCCAGGGACATGGGACTTCGAAGAGACTCCATTTGGGGACTGTCATGGGAAGGGCTTCACACCATGGAGACAGTGAGGGTGGTCTTCAGGGAAGGGTTAGGGGGTCTCCTCCGGATGCCTGGTCAGTTCTCTAGACCAGCATGGGTAAACCAGACTCACAATGGGGAACCTACTCTGCCTAATTTTAGAATACATTCACAGCTGAATCTGTGTGTTTCTGGTTCCAAAATATTACTGATTTAGAAAGGAATGGGATGTTTAGAAAGAGACATCAGTGTTGTGTTGTTCGGAACCATTGAGTCGGTTCTAACTGCTAGTGACCCTTCACAGAGCAGAATGAAGCGCTGCCCTGTCCTTTGCCTTCCTCGTAATTGTTAGGTTTGGACCCAGCTTTGCTGCCACTGTGCCAGTCCATCTTGTTTGGGGGTCTTCCTCTTTTTTCACTGACGCTCTACTTTTCCAGCTTGATGTCCTTCTCCAGGGACTTGTCCCTCCTGACAACAAGTCTCAAGTACGAGCAACAAGGCCTTCAGTATCAGCTCTTCTAGAAGGAGCACTCGGGCTGTACTTCTTCTAGGATAGATTGGTTGTCCTTCGGGCAGTCCATGGTACTTTCAGCAGCCTTGTTCTAACCTTATTTTGAAAGGTCTCCCCTATTACATGTTGTAAAATATTATGCTATGCTTAGTTCTGATGTTTTCTTTTTTACTATGAGGAGGTGTCCAAAAGCTCATGAAAACATGGAATGAAAATATCATGGAATTTTTCCACATACTTTCTGAAGTCCCCTCATTTGATTTTTATGTCTTTCTTTAATTTGGATTTTTACATGTACTTCCTAAGCTATTTTATTTCATGCATTTTAAAGTTTAGATAATACATATATATAAAGTAATTGATTTGTGTGTCATTTGGCAAGCCCCTCTGTGAAAATTACATGGCAGCCAAGGCATCTGGCCTCTGACTCTCCACCGGGGAAGGAGAATCGTTATCAGAATCACCCTCCCAAGACTAACTCCTTGGGAAATGGAGGCGCCTCCTGTTACCAACCTTTCTTACCAATTCTGACACCAACTGCCCCTCCCATGGCACTGTCTACCTCTCTGCTGGCTTCAGTAATTTATTGCTGTGGCCACACAGAACTCACCATCTTCAGGACTGTGGGGAAAAGTGAAAGGATGAGGATCAACTGAGAAGGTACAGTAATAATTCAAAGTACAGTTCTTAATCAGGAGCGCTGCTTGCTCTCTGCCGCTCGGCCCTGCACACAGGGAGCTTCTTGGCAAGGTACTGTCGCTCTCAGGTCTGCAGGCCAGCCAGCCTAGCTGCCCAGATCCCCAAGGCTCCCTCCTCACTCTGCAAGTGGGCCTCCTACCTGAAAGCGCTCAGACTCTGCTGGTTAAAGCCACGTGTCTGGATGGCTAGACCAGCATTCCCAGTGGTTTGGGCCTCCTCCTTTTTTTGCATAACACCAATTTTCAAATAGCAGCCTGGTCTTTGTAACCTACCCAAGTCACTAAATGAATAGTGAGTGTATTTTTGCAGACAAGTAGTTCCTGACTTACAACATAGTCAAATTATGATGAACCACACTTACAACTGTCTGGTTTATGTCTTGTTTTGTCTTTGTTAACATCATTCATAGTATGTATGTACAAAGGAGTTCATGGGAAAATGAAATTAAAAGAATGGAATTTTTTCACAAACTTTTTGAAGCCCCTTGTGTGTTTTAAACTCTTTCTTTAAGTTTATATGTAATGTTTCCAGCCACCAAAAACAAAGGTTGGATTAATAAAGATACTGATAAGTGGGGAACTAACTGTCTATGTTTTTAGTGGAGAATGGAATTAAAGTTTTTAGTATGTTTTTCATTTTTACATTCATTTTTTTTTTTTTAACTAACAATATAGAATGTTGTTGTTAAGTGCCGCTGAATCGGTTCCTACTCATAGAGATACCATTTAGAGTTTCCAAGGAGCAGCTGGTAGGTTTGAACCACTGACCTAGCGGTTAGTAGTCCAGTGCTTATACTACAGTGACAAACCAGGACCCCTAGTATAGAAGAGTGATGACAAACTAAATTACGCACGATTTGTAAATTTTCATTGTACCAAATATGCTGAAATGCTCTTGTACTAATATAAATAGTTTGTTTTTAATAGTTGAAAATGTCTTCCGTGTCTTCTGTGAGCTTCATTTTTGTGTAAGGACCTTGGTGACACAGACAGTTAAGTTCTGGGCTGCTAACTGAACGGTTGTTAGTTTGAACCGCCCCCCACGGCTCCTCAGGAGAGACCTGACTGCTTCTGTAAAGATTGCAGCCAGAAAACCTCTGGGGTTGTTCTGCTGTGTGGCGTTGGGTTACCGTGAGTCCAGAACAGCTCATCAGCACCTAACAACATTTTTGTCAACTCTGTAATGGAGTCCAAGTGTAGCACTATAGGATTAGCACCAGATTACAAACCACAAGGTCAGCAGTTCAAATCCACTGGCTGCTCCTTGGAAAATCCTATACAGGGTCACTATGAGTTGAAACTGACTCAGTGGCCCTTGACATTAACAGCATGAGTTCGTAGTAGTAAGAATAGTAACAAGTTCATATGTATGTGTTTTTATGGACCTATATAATGACCTTGTTTTGAATCTTGTCATTTTGGAAATAAGCAGCGTGCTTTTAAGGCTGTGCCTGTAACTTAACCGTTTGATGTTTTCGGTTCAGTTCTAAAGCCTGACTACCTGAGTTCAGGGGCTGGGTCTGTCATGTGTTAGCTGTTGACTTTCTGTAAGTGTCTGGGACCCAGTTGTTCCCAGTATCAGGTGGGAACTAATCTTTCTCTACTGGAGTATTCTGTTTCTATCATTCTGTGATATAAACAAAGCATTTATAGTAAAGCTTAGCACATTGGTGTTCAATGTGTTCATCATAGTTTTTTCATTCAGACTTCTTTTCAAGTCACAGTGGACTTTGTTGTCCCTGAAGACGCTTCTCCTGCTTCAGCTTATCTGAGGAGCATGAATGATGTCACGTGCTATACAGAATATAGCATCTAACACGTCTGAACAGGTGACACCTTATTGGATTTTAAGCATCTGTATATTTCTTTCACTGTCCATGAAAATAAGAAATCCACACTGATTTGGTGGAGTTCATATCCTTCATTGGAAACATGCAACAAAACAAAATTAATGGCATATATCTTGCTCAGAGTTTTCTTTCGCGGATCTGTCAGAATGTTCAATCGACTCGATCTCAATGCCTTGGCACTTCTCTGTTGTTATAAAAAGAGCCACTCTCTCCCAGGTCCACTTGTTTCGTGACAGGAATTGCTGACGTTCAGGGACGTGGCCGTGGAATTCTCTCAGGACGAGTGGGACTGCCTGGAGCCAGCGCAGAGGGCTCTGTACCGGGACGTGATGTTGGAGAATTACAGGAACCTGGTCTCCCTGGGTGAGTCTGACTTCCCTCTCTAAGTTTGCATCTTTGCATTTTCCTTTGAAAGTCTCTGATTTGCTTTATGTAGTGTCGCATCCCTGCTCTTAGGATGAGATTGCAGTTGCTTCAAAAATGAAAACCTTCATGATGTGACATCTGAACTTTAGCTTTCCCCGTTCTTCCGATGTCCTGCCTGCTTCCCACTAGATCAGAGCTGGAGTTAAGTACATTTTATAGCAAACTTTAAAAGATCTGATTTCTTGGTTTTACCCACATGCTTTTGATTGCTGGAAGAGAGCCATATTTCAACTAGTTCTTCAGCATGTGGAAGGTGGCAGTAAGGCAGATTCATGAAGAAGGTTTATAGACCCATGGGTAATGTCCTCTCTTCTCAGTTGAACAAAGGGCTTGGGTTCTTTTTTCATCTTCTTTTTTCTTATAATCAAGAATCGGTTGTTCTGACTTGAATAGTATCTCCATTTTGGAACAAGAGAGAGAACCCTAGTTTATGGAGATGAAAATTGCAACAAAACACAAAAAAACAAATGGATGGCACTATATCAAAGGTGTGAACACAGGTAAGAGCTCAGATAGACAAAGAGGAAACTGATCTATTAACCACTACATTTGGGAAAGTCCCTAGATGGGAGAGAGCTGTGAAAAAGCACAGGTTTATTTGTCGTGAGCTCTCAGAAGGAAATCTTTCTTCTTTCCCACATATCTCTGTTCTTGAGACGTGTAATGTTCCACTTCACTGGTGGTCCAGCTCAAGAAGAGACAAAGGCAAAAGGATTATTGTGACCTACAACGTGATATGAGCCCCGGGGGTCCTTGTGAACTCTGGTATTCTTTTATGTTTGATTTGGGTTTTTTGCCTGTGAAAATTAGTTTTGAAATAATACATTTCTAGAAAGAGAAGCACTGTGACAATGTTGATCAAATATCCTAATGATCTTCCCCCTTGAGCTGGGAATAACCACTGTTGGACTTGACCTTAGAGGAGACATTGTCCAAGTTTTCTACCTCATGTTTGTGAGTCTGTGGACCAAAGTGTTCTTGATGGTACAGTTTGCATCCCATGTGTCACCACTCACTGTCCTTCAACAAATTGGTTTTTTTGTTAACTTTTTATTGTGAATTGAGTGAAGGTTTACAGACAAGATCACCAGTTTTACATTCGGCAAATCCTACACTTTGTTTCATCTCAGTGATTACAATCCCCTCCCTGCAACGTCAGTGATCCCGCTTCCTCCCTGTGCTTCCTGTTTGCATTCCACCCACCTTCCCATCCCTTTCTCAACTTTGTCCTTAGGTAAATGTTGCCCTCTTGATCTTAAATGATTCCATGGTGAGCATACCTTTCAGGTGTTATTGTCCCCCCTGTATACCTAGCTACTGCGCTTGGCTGAAAATTGGGCTGTGAGGGTGAATTCCTTTACAGACATGGAGGGTGGTCAAGGGACATAGCCTTGGGACCGTCTAGTCCTTTTATGCCCAGTAAGCCAAGTGTTTTTTCAGACCTTGGAGTTTTGTTTCAGATTTTCTCCCACTCTATCTGGGGCCTGGTGTGGCGCTGTGGGCTAATGTGTCAGACTGCAGAGTTGTTTGAACTGCAGCGTTGGTGGTTCAAGCTCACCAGCTGCTCCTTGGAAACCCTATACAGGGTTGCTCTGGGTCGAACTCGACTTGACGGCACTTGATAACAACATCTGGGGCCTTCTAATGTGATTTTTAAGAGCAATTGGTAGTGGTAGCAGGCACTGTCTAGTTCATCTGGTCTCCGAGTCATGGAGATTGATGTTCACTTGTTCCATGAGTCCATGGGACTAGTTGATTTCAAGCCTCTTCAGTCTCATCCCTCTTCTTTCTTCCACGCATGGAAAGACCAATAGCTGCCCCTTAGATAGCTGCTCATGAGCTTCTAAGACCCCGGTCACTACTCAGCAAAGTAGGATGTAGAACCTTGTCTTTGTGGACTCTGTTGTGTCAGTTGGCCACCATGTCCCCTGAGACTACGGTCCTGAGCCCCCAGGCCCAGCAGTTTATTGCCGTAAGATGATAACTAATATCTAGGAAGTCCTCATCCTTCTGCTCGCTGTGTGCTCCGCCACATTCATACTTGTGTGCCCTTTCTTTTGGTACTTAAGTTTACCTACTGTAAGTGGTTCGGTTGTAGAATGTTTGAAACCAGGCTTCCCTGTAAATAATGTTCATTGCATGTAATCACCCTTTCTTGATTGCAGAATCTGATAGCCTTTATGTTCCTAATCATTTGAACACCGTGATTGATAAATTTCATAATTGTTTATTGTAGTATAGGCAGTCCCCGGCTTATGAACGAGATTGTTCCAAAGTATGTCTCTAAGTTGAATTTGTAGGCAAGTTCATACAGGTACATTTACAGGTTCTGTTTAGGCTTACTTAGGTGTAAGGAAAGGATCGAACCTTAAAAACCATGTGCAATAAGTGGAGGTGATTGTGATGAAGAATTTGTTACATGCTGAGGTTGTTGTTGTTGTTGTGTGCCATGGAGTCGGTTCCGACTCATAGTGACCCTGTACAGGGTTTCTAAGGCTGTAAATCTTTACAGGAGCAGAAAGCCTCCTCTTTCTCCCACAGAACAGCTGGTAGTTTCGAACTGCTGACCTTGCAGTTCGCAGCCTGATTCGTAACCACTACACTACCAGAGCTCGGTTCAGTCTTTTCAAAGTGAGGACAAACTTTTACATAACATTAAAGGGCAAGGGCAAATTGTCCATCCATTGGGCATTCATAACCCAGGGACTGTCTTATTACTTTTTGTATGATATGCTTCTCACTATGAAATATTCCAGTTGGAGTTCATAGGAAGCACATGGTTCTTTGTGTCTTTCAGATCTCTCTTCTAGCCGTATGACCCAGGAATTGCCGCCAAATGAGAGCATTATTATTAAAGAAGAATTCCAGGTAATGATGTTGAAAGAAGCTGAAAGCCACAATATAGGAAACGTTGACTGTGGACCATCCCTAGAATGTACGCATGAATTTGAGAGTCAGTGGGGGTATAAAGGAGGAAATCACGTGGCTACATCCCATTGCAACAGTCTCACTTGTAGAGAAGACCACCAACATAAGAAGTCCTGGAGTCATTCTCCTCCAAAGCTGAGTGTTCCTATTAGAAAAGGTGCATGTCCATATTACGCATGCAAAAATCCATTTACGAAGAGCTTATTAAAATCAGAAAATACCCTAGGCCATGGCGAGAACAAGTCTGTAAAGTATTTTGAAAATAAGATTGGATTAAGCATGCCGTTAGATGTGGCTGAACCACAGAGATTTCAAACTGAAGAGAAAATGTATGGATGCAATCTAGTTAAGACCAGTGGTTGCCCAGTTTCATCAGTTTATATCATTTCCTCTAGTGTTGAATTCAACATTTGTAATAGATGTGGGGAGAGCTTTAAGGATCCCTTGTTACTTACACAACACCAGAAAACGCACATTAGGGGAAAACCTTACAAGTCTCGTGAACGTAGAAAGACTTTCAACAAAAACTCAAATGTCACTAAGCAACAGAGAGTTCATTGGGGACCAAGACCTCACCACGAATGTAATGAGTGTGGCAGAGCCTTTAATTCTCTTTCCAACTTGATTAAGCACAAAAAGATCCATACTGGAGAGAAACCATATACGTGTAGTGTCTGTGGCAAGGCTTTTAGGCTCCGGACTGACCTGAGGATTCACCAAAGAATTCACACTGGAGAAAAACCTTTCAAATGTAGTCAGTGTGACAAGGCTTTTATCAAGCGTTCACAACTTCTGGGTCATGAGAGAATTCACAGTGGAGAGAAGCCTTACAAATGTAACAAGTGTGGCAAAGCGTTTACTCTCCTGTATTCCCTCACCCGCCACCAGAGACTCCACAATGAAGAGAATCTTCACAAATGTCTTGAATGCGGTAGAACTTTTGTCACACCTTCATACCTGTGGTATCATGAGAAAATTCACACTGGCGAGAAGCCATACCAGTGTATGGAATGTGGCAAAGCCTTTAGGCAACGGTATGACCTCAGGATTCACCAAAGGATCCATACTGGTGAGAAACCTTACAAATGCATTGACTGTAACAAGGCCTTTCGGCAGCGATATGACCTCAGGATTCACCAAAGGATCCATACTGGTGAGAAACCCTACAAATGTAAGGAGTGTGGCAAAGCCTTTACCTATTGTTCGCACCTGACTCGACACCAGAAACTATTTACTGAAAAGGATCGGTACAGATCTGTTGGTGCTTTTATCCAAAGCTCAAACCTTGGGGGTCACGGCGAAATTCAGAGTGATGAGAACACTCACACATATAATGAGTGTGGCAGAGACGGTAACTCCTTCTTGGACTTGGTTAAACGGAAGAGAATCCATACCGGAGAGAAACCATGTACATGCACTGTATGTGGCAAAACGTTCAGGTGCCTGTCTGAAATAAGGACTCACCAAAGAATTCATACGGGAGAAAAGCCTTACAAATGTAACGAATGTGGTAAGGCTTTCATTAGACGCTCTCACCTTTGGAGCCACGAGAAAATTCACACTGGAGAGAAACCGTATAAATGTGATGAGTGTGGCAAAGTCTTTAGCCATCTCTCCAACTGTACTAGACATCAGAAAATACATCTGAAAAAGCACATTGTAAAGCTGATATAGCGGCATTGTTTTTACCCTAAGCTCAGACGTTGGGTATTATCGGATAAATCATAAGTTATTATAAAGAAACTTCACAAAGACAACGTGTGTTAAAGCCTTGAGCCGTCTTCGGTCTTTACAAGACATCAGAAAATTACACAGTGAAAAGGAACAATATAAATCTAATACATCCATCAATGCTTGTACCTCAGATTAAAACTGGGGATCATTACATAATTCATAGCAGAGAGAATCCTTAAACATGTAATGAGTGTGGCAAATGCTTTACCATGTATTCCAGCCTTTCCTATCATGACAGAAGTCATACTGGAGAAAAACCTTACAAATGTAATGAAGATAGCAAAACTTTGTACCCATTTTGCAAACCTTACTAAACATCAGAAAATGCCTGATGAAAAGGAACATAATAAATCTCATACTTGATGTCAATGGTTTTATTCAAAACCCAAGCCCTGGGGGCCCTGAGAAAACTTATACTGAAGCAAACCTTAGAAATGAATTTCCTAAGTATTGTTATTTATCAAATGTTCACTCCTTTGTGTGAAAGTATAAATATCATAAATTATTTAATCAGTTTTCACAATGGAATACCAAAACTCACTGCCCTGGAGTTGATTTCAACTCATAGCAACACTATAGGACAAAGTAGGGAACTCCCTAGAGCTACCAAGGGTGTCAATATTTACAGAAGCAGATTGCCACATTTTTCTCCTGCAGAGTGGCTGATGGGTTTGAACCGCTCGTCTTTTAATCAGTGTGCCGCATTGGTTCTTTTGGTGGAATTAATAGTAGGAAGAACTAAGTATCTAGTTCTTAAAGATTAATCAATTTCAGGTGTTAATTTCTGCAGCGTGGATGAAAGACATTACTTAAAATTTAGAATGTTAAAAATCTACAAGGACTTCTGAGTTGTTAAATGCCATAGAATCCTTTCTGACTTACAGCAATTCTGTATAGGGTTTCCAAGAAACAGATGGTGGATTTGAATCACCAACCTTGTAGTTAGCATTCCAGTACTTATCCAATAGCGCCACACCTAGACTCCTGAAGGTTTTCGGTTTAGACAGTATTTTTATTCAACTACTTCAGAGTTTTTGAAAAGTCTTCATCTCTTGATGACATTCAAACTTAGGTTTAAAACTTATATCGCGTGGCTTTCATGTTTCGGTGTGGTGGTCCTGAGCATCAGCTGTGTATCAGCTGTGTGAGTTTGAATGAGCGCATGGAAAGAGCTAGAAGACAGACATAGAACAGTTCTAACTCATCACAATACTTGTGTTCAGGCCCCTCTTCTCCAGATTTGTCAGTACAAAAAAAGGGTCGCTGTCAATTGAAGAAAAGGATTCCTTTACCAAGTGAAGAAAAAAACAATAGGGTACAAAAGAATTGAGAGACTTGAGATTTTCATGGGAATGGAATGAAATTTACTGGGTACTACTATTGGAATTCTGGTGTGGCCCTACAAGATAAAGCACTGGACCACAAGGTGAGTTTAAACTAAAAGGTCAGCAGTTTAAAACCAGCAGTTGCTTCTCAGGAACCCTAGACAGGGTCACTATGAGTCAGAACCAACTTAACAACAGCAACTGTAGGTTAAGCACTGGACTGGCAACCACAGGGCTGGCGGTTCAAACCCACCAGCTGTTCATCGGAGACCCTATACAGGGTCCCTGTGAATTGGAACTGACTAAACAGCACACCACAACAACAGCAACTGTTGTGGAGGAGTCTTTATGGCCTGGTGAGCTAATCATTGGTCTGCAAACCGAAAGGCTGACAGTTTGCTCGATCCGCTCACTGGGAGTAAGATGAGGTCATCTGCTCCCATAGAGGTTTACAGGCTGTGAGACCCAGAGGAGGAAGCAAAGTCTCTGTCCTATTGGGTGTTATGAATCAGAATTCACTTTATAGTAGGTTTCAGTGGGTAGTAATTTGAGGTCCTGGTGTGGTGCAGTAGGATAAGCACTAAACTACTAGCCACGAAGCTGGCAGTTCAAACCCACCAGCTGCACCTTGGAAACACTCCACATGGTCACCATGAGTTGGAACGGACTTGACAGTGTAAATCAATAACTGTGACAGAACAGAGGGGTGCTGCATGGTTTAAAATCAGGAAAGGAGTGGGTCGTCATAACTTTTTCAATCTGTGTGCTCATCAATTAATCCAAGAAACTGGACTGCATGAAAAAGAATGTGGCACCAAAATTAGAGGAAGGCTCATTGGCAACCTGTAGTGTGTAGAATACACAGCCTTGCTTACTGAAAAGTAAAGAGCATTTGAAGCACTTACTGTGGAAGATCAAAGTCTTTAGTATGGATTAAGCCTCAATGTAAAGAAAACAGAAATGCCCGCAAACTGGTCCGATAGACAGCAGCGTAATAAATGGAGAAAAGACTGAAGTCAAGAATTTCACTTTACTTGGGTCCACAATCAACGTTCATGAAAGTAGCAGTCAAGAAATCGAAGGCTATATTGCATTGGACGGATCTGCAGCAAAAGACCTCTTTAAAGTGTTAAAGAGCAAAGATGTCACCTTGAGGACTAAAGGGCCTAACCCAAGCCTTGGCATTTTGGGTTGCTTCCTATGCATGTGAAAGCTGGACTATTTGAATACGGAAGACTTGGGGAAAAAGAACTATGCTTTAAATGATGCTGTTGGCTGTGAAGAATACCCAAAGAACAGTGGACTGCCAAAAGAACAAATCAATCTGTCTTGAAAGAAGTACAGCCGGAGTGAACCTTAGAAAGACGCAAGGGTGGCAGTACTCCATCTCATGTTACTTTGGGCATGTCACCAGGAGGGACAATCCCTGAAAGTGGACATTGTGCATGGTAAAGTAGAGGATCTGCAAAAATGAGCGCCATCCTAACAGCAGTTGGGACCATGCAGTGTCTCATTTGTTGCACACGGGGTCACTCTCATTCAGAACTAACTTGACAGTACCGTACAACAATGTGGCAAAAATAATGGAGGAGAAATTATGGTCTTCACCTTTGAAAGGAATAACTTTTTACCCCTGTTTGGGAGACCTTGGTGGAGTCATTTGAAGAGGTGATTACTCAATAAATAGCACTTAAAAATGAAAACACAAGATGTGGATAAACTAGGAATTTCATATCTTTACTCCCCTTCACTTGTGACTTCCCCATTAACAGTGTTTGGTTGGGCAGTTCAGAAGGATGATGTGTTTTTCCGAAGGAAACTTAGGCAAGCTTCACAACGTGTTAGGAGATGGCTGGAGAGCTCAGTAGCAGTATGGTGGTTGGCAGTTGAACTGGGGTGGGACCAAAAGAGAGGAAGCACTTTGTCATTTTTGTCAGCTAGCCTAATGTAAAGCAGAAGAAGATGGAGTCACATTCTTTAATAAAAGTGTAAGTCAGAAATATTAAATATTCATTAAACAAAAATATCAAAATGTGAAGCTGTTGTTTCACGACGTCTCCTCCATCTAGGCCTGTACACTTCAGGAGGCGTTGTCCCCACCTCTCTTACTCTTCTTCAGAGAAGTCTCTTAGACTGACGCCATGTCCAAATGACACTTTTGCCATCGTCAAAGGGACTCATCATGTTCCTGTTCAATGTTCATTGAATTTGGGAAGCAGAACTCTGAAGAAACACGATCGGCGTTGTAGGATAAATACAGTAAAGTTTCCCGACAAAGTTCTCCTGTGACAACTCTTGCTCCCCTGGAAAATGAGCAGTGGCTTCATTGGTTTTGTTTCTGTCGAGAACCCAATCGACGGCATCCCACTGCCTCTCCAGTCCCCTCTTGACCTCTGTACACCCCAATTCTTCCAGCTTCCCCTCACTTTGGTGCCCCCTTTTTGAGTCTTTTCCCAGTTTCCCTATTCCACTTTTCTGTATTTCCCTCCCGTTTTTCTGTTGCTCTTTGCCTTTCTCTCTGTTGTCTCCTCCGTCTCTTACCTCACTCACCTCTCTTGTTTTGCATCACTGATTCTGTAACATTTTGTGTTTGTCTAACCCCCTCCTTTTCTTTTTGCTTCAACTTTTCTTTCTCTACCCTTCTCCAGCACTTAAGAATTACAGCCCGCCTCTCTATGTCTACTGGAGTCCTGGTGTGGCGCTGTGGGTTCATGCACCAGACTGCAAAGCCGTTTGAACGGCAAGGTCAGCAGTTCCAGCTCACCAGCTGCTCCTCGGAAACCCTATACAGGGTCGCTGTGGGTCGGAACCGACTCGAAGGCACTTCACAACAACAACAACTCTATCTCTGGTCTCTCATTGCCACTCTTTGCTTTTTCATTGTACCCTTTCTTGTTCCTTTTTGATCCAGCTCACCTCAACCTGAACTAGCTTTTCTTGTGTGCCATGTCTCAGTTCTCTTGTATTTCACCTGCAAGCTCCTTTTTCTCTTATTTTTTCCTTCAATATGTCTTCCCCATTTAATGTTTTTTCTCTCTATTATTTCCTTCCCTTTTTCTTGCTGCTCTTTTTCTCTCTCACTCGAATATCTTCTTCATATTCTATATCTTTCCATGTATGATCTCCTTCTCATTTCTTCTCCCTTTCCTACTTTATGCCTTTCTGTGTCCTTTTCTTCCTGATTCATTTATTTGAATATGCTTGTTCATTCTTCTCACTATGTTCCTTTTCTTTCTTGATAAAATTATAACATAATGAAGATGTGCAATCTTATAAAATAACCTGTAAATACCTATAAGTTGAATACCTTCATATCGACACTAGTGTAAAAGAAGTTGAATGATAATAACTATAGAAAATCCAGTAATAAGTTTTTATATAACTATTACTTCTATATATACACTTTGTTAAAGTGTAAAGTCATGAGTGGAGGCCTGGTGTGGCGTGGGCTAATGAGTCAGACTGCAAAGTCATTTCAACTGCATGGTCAATGGTTCAAGCTCACCAGCTGCTCCTTGGAAACCCTATCTATACAGGATCGCTATGGGTTGGAATCAACCCGACAGCACTTGACAACAACAACAAAGTCATGAGTAAATATGAACAACTGGATAAGAAATTACAATTATTTTATAGCCTGTATCTTAAATATCTAATGCTGCTATAACAAACATCACAAGCTTTAACAAATTTACTCATAACTGAGGCTAGACATCCAAACTCAGGGTATCATTAGGGGAAGGTTTCTCTCTCTCTCTCACCTCTGAAGAGGTCTCATTTCATGGAAATTCCCCTTACTTTGGATCAGGTTTGTTTCCCCAGTGAGAGTGGTACATCCCAATCCTATGATGTTAGCATCGCAAACCTAACTGAATCCTGCCTCATTAACACAGCATTCAGGAGGTCTCTATATAACTCATGGTTGGTTGGCTGGTTACCATGGAGCCTGTTCCGACTCAATGCG